TTTGTTCAATTGGAGGCATTCAGAAGCTTGTTCTTCCCCTGAAATAACGTAAATGTGGAAGTAAATAGCTCTGGATCGAACTTAGAATGAATCTGAATTTCATGATGGCAGGTGAATCATTAATAATATATTACATTAAAAATGAAAAAATGTTCGATTTATTGCATGATACTCATCTTTTCGTGAGGCATGGAGGAAAGCATCGAATGCTATTTGAAGTAATAAAAAATATAATAATATTACGCATGAAATAGTTTTATTATTTTTGAAGATATTTATAGTTTTATAATTTGTAGTTCTAGAAACTTGTAGAATAACTATTAAAATTATGAGTTTAAGAAGGCCAGCTATTGTTAAACGGTGAAAATTATAAGTTTTCTTTGTTGTAATATAAAAATCGTTCTAGTAAAATTATCATCATGAACATTTTTCACTTTACGGTATTCGGTAAATGCTTTCATGTTCTTTTTAAGTCTAAAATCTCACTTAGTGCCTTAGAAAGATTTCTTAACCGTAACACCTTATTTGAAAAAAAAGTGATTTACCACGCTTTCGTGAACGTTAAAATAAACGAAAATCATTTTTAAAGGGTTGAGTTCGTTTTCTTCCAAAAAAAGTTAGTACGGCTGCCTAAAGCTAGCTGTAGCCGACTAAGACTAGCATTAGCCAGAGTCCGAACTTTAGCCGTAACACACATACGTACACGGTATGGTATGTGAAAAAGTTCGCTGGTGCAATATAAAAGAGAAACAAAAAAGTTATTTGACCGTATGTATGGAAATTCCTGATGACCCATTGGGATTCAGGACTCGAAATAATTATATGTAGATTGGTTTTCCATTCTAGCGTTAAAACTCAATGTGAGTTGATTGGTGGCACGTTGAAAGTCAGTGTCGATAAAATCAATTAGCTCTTGATCAAATATTTATCTTAAAGTGACACAGAAATTCTTTATTAATTTTATATTCTTTATTTTTAGTAACACCATTTGCTTTATCAAAACATTGTGCAAATAAACAATGGAGTACAGCTGTATGAATATTGCTACATTATATTTCGAGGATATCACTGCGATTACATTCGTTTGCATGAAAATAAAAACGGACCAATGAGATAAAATAGGACATTAGCCTAAGATGAACATGTATAGTGTGTCATACGAAGAATAACAGTGGGAACAAAAGGGAGAGTCTTGACACGCGTGAGCAGCTGGGAAATAAAAAACGGGAGAGGAGACGGAGCAGCAGCGTCTAGGGATCGCCTCACTCGGCCGGTTGCATTAAGTCCAATGCTGCTTCAAAAGGGTTAACGGCTGGATAACTAGGTAGTGCGACATGTTGCGTATCCCTTTCACGTAAGACGTCGAAAGTCGAGCTTTATCGACCGAAGGACGGGCTCCTCTGTTTCTTCTCTTTGTCGTGTTTTTTTCTTTGTTCTTTTTCTTCTCTTGCACAACAAACTCAACGTGGAGCTTGGTTTTACCGGCGCATAAAATGCACCAAAAGCGGCAAACCACGATTCCTAAGGGACTTTCGTATATGCAGAACATACCTAGCGAGAGAAAAAAAAATAAGGCGCTCGAATGAAAGATAATAAAGATAAAAGAAATGTCGGATTTGGATTATCCTACATGATTATAACAACGTTGCGCTTTTATAATAAAGCTAAAAATCTGTAATTACGCCACATCAAGCAGTTATTCTCATAAAGATTACCGTGATCTTCAATAACGCGTCACTTTGCCTTAAAAACTACTATTCGGGTTATTCACTTGCGAACGTAGTATTTCAAGCGTATCGGTAAATAGATTTTTGTCTTCGCGTACTGCTCTAAAACGAGATGAACTGAAGTGGAATAAAGAATACTGTACCGTCGGTGGAAAATCAATCAATTTTTGCTGGTTGCCTCGCGTGTATCAGTTTGACGATACTGTGCATGTATGCATATCTCACTATTATCAAATGTGTCTAAAATAACATATAACTAAAACCTAACGAGCAATCCAATCTTTTCAGTTATCAACTTTAATATAATATTTTTGTTCCTTTGTCCAATGATACGTATCGACGAATCATGTCGGTCGACGTCATGAAAATGAGATACGGCGCGAGAGTTGACAAAAGCCAAGAGAAGTGTGGTTACGCTTACAAGAAGAGACGAAAAGAAGCGAGAAAAGAGGAGGCAAAACCGATGCTCGAGCTCGTGGTGAAGCTAATGAAACTATTGAGATGCAAATAGTGGCCTCGAGCTCGCGGCGCTGCTCTCCCGCTCTTCCGTCGACCCCCGGGTCAGCAGCACAACTTTCTACAGTCTTCTCTGCCGACATCTTGAACCCGCAAGTCAATGCGCTGGAATAACTCGAGGCTCCTTCCACTCTTCCATCCTATATGCACTCTAAAGAGCCCGGCCCATTAGCTATTGTTATATTCCATGGCCGCGCGACATTATTTCAGATTTGAGCCATCCAGTGCCCGTGTAGTTGCGTGCGCCAGCAGCGGCGAGATTGAACAGATGCCGCTTTCTCCCTAATGCCCCACGTTAAGTCGGAATAATACCACACCGCGATGACTCGCTTTCACTGCTCACAAGATGTAACTTTATGCGTTAGAAGCTTTGCTTGTTACTCATTTCCATTCTGCGACGACGACACATTCAATCTAAATGGATCTTTTAGTTAGTCGATTTGGGTACAGTAGAACACACTTGACATAGTCAGACGCCATCGCACGCTGTGGTGATTCGATAAGATTCGATAGGCACATATTTTTCTAAAAATATCTTGCTGCGAAAGAAACGTAAGTACGTTCGATGGAAAAAAATTGATATTTTCAAGTACATTGGCTTTCCAACAAAACAGAGGAAGGGAGAGAGAGAGGGAGACAGCTGGAGGGGGGATGAAATAATGCGACGCAGTGTGGCTGTTGCTAAAACCAAGATTTGCATGGCTGCCGATGCACTAAGGCAAATCCCGGGAAAATAAACAAGCCAGGAGCCGGGTTGGGAGGGCAAGGGGAGGGGAAGAGCGCCTAACGTATTGCCGCTCGAATCGGAGAAAAAGAAAACGCGGCAAATCCCTAAGAGAAATGTCGAAGCGCGGCGGCGAGCTTGCTAGACGGGAAAAACCAATGAAAAGAGGAGCGAAAAACGAAAAAGATATCCAATTTTCTCGCTCTCGAGAGCGAGCGAGCGCCAGCTACTACGTGCTCAACAGCCTATATCCCCTTTTTGCCTTGTAATTTTATTTACTCGTGACCGTGAGCTTTTGTATACATGATCGGCCGCAGCTACATCAGCTCGATAAGGCCTTTGACTTCCTCTCTGTTTCTTTGCTTCTATCTCGCGCGTCGATTTTCACATTCGGTCAGAAGACTTATCCTCAGCTGCGGGACTTATTGCCGAAAGGAAAGCGAACGGATCGAGGGCGGTGCTTCGCAGCCGAGCTCACTCGGAACCTCGTAGCATTGATGATTGCTGCCACTCTCCAAGTTCTCTGAGCCTGATCAGCGTTGATTTTAACGGTAATATGTGGGAGCCGCGGGATAGGCGCATTTGGTGGGCAATCAATCGATTGGCTAGACGACTGACTCGACGCACAAATAACTGGCGGTGGACAGCGCGAGCAGCTTGATCGGCGATGGGCGCGAGCAGTACGAGCTGCAACATTAACTGGACGGCTATTAATAAATCGCTCGGCAGCGGCGCGCGCGAGCTTACTCGAGGCCGCTGTCCCGCTGGATATATTGGAAATCCACGCGGCAGCCAGCTTATTCGAGGCGTATAAGTGCAGCTACAGCCGAGGCAATCGACGCTCGCGAGGGATAAATTAAAGCAGCCCAGCCGAAAGATCCGGCGGTTGCCTGGCTTTAGTTTTACTGCGTGTAGTCCCCTCGCTTTTATTATCAGGCAGATCCAGAGCAATCCAGCGATCGCCCGTGATCGTAATGGGCTAAGAGCGGCCGCCCGGGCGCTACTCCAGAGCAGGAGCGTCAGCAGCTCTCCGCGCGTTTATTGCCCTCGACACTGCCCCCTCGCGGACCGCGGAGGCCGCCTCGAAGCGAACGCTCGCGCCTGCGATGAGATTCTCGCCGAGCGCGCAACGACGAGCCAGAGCGAGCCGGCAGTCGCGCGCCGCGAGAAGAAACTTGGCCCGCTGGCAAATATACGCAAATCGCGTTTGCGTCTTCGCTCTCGGCTACGTCTAAACTGCCAAGCTAAGCGGCAGCGACGTCGCGTCGGCGCTAACTTGCCGGCAAGTCGCTTTTGGGGCTTATGATTAAATCATCGCAACGCGCCACCGCCGACCCGCTCTGCCGGCGCGTTTTGCCACCGCCGCCATGCCCAGGTCGTACGCGCGCCGAGCGAGCGCGACTTATCGGCTTGTTAAACGCCTTCATTCTTGCAGCCGCGATAACCGCCGCGCGCGAGCGCAATTTTGATCCGCAGAGCGCCGAACGCTTTCGCGCGCTTAGCAGTGTAGCTGCAAGCGTACGGGTTTTTGGCACGGGAAAAGGAGGCCGTGGCCGTGGTACAGCGCGCGCAAAAACAGCAATCGCGGTGCCAGCTCACGGGGGGCTTTTCGCCGTGCTCATTATTTGAATTGGCTGCACGAGTGACGCTGACCTCTTGCGCTGCATCGGTAGGTGTGCCACGCTCGGGAGACTCTTTGCGCCAATTACAGTTGGCCCACGCGTAGCTCGCGCCAGCGAGGAGATACGGGCCCGTAAGCGAGGCTGCCGTGTCGCGGCATTACAATTATCTATGACACTGGCGTGCGAGCCGAGGACGACAATTTCCCAGGTCAATCGTAAATTCCGGAACACCTCTTCCGCGTCTCGACGCGCCACTTGCAACACTTTCGTTTCTGCTCATCCAACCCATTCGATACCCCGACGCACTTACATTTTTCTCGGCTGTAAATTACTAAAGTTCTTTCTCTCTCGCTCACTCGCTTGCCACTTGCGCTGCTCTCTTAACAAGTCGATTTTCTTTCTCTGTTTCAGATTCGACTCCTCGACCCCCTCCCCTCCTGAGAGGGACTTGGCGTAACTTTCAGAGAGGAGTTTCACTAGCGGTGAGTAAACTTCACGGTTCTTGTTTGAAATTCGCACTCGTTAGTTTCGCAGAGAGAGGGGCAGAGCCTTTACCGTATCCTTTTCTCGGAGATTTTTATTAAAAGTCTCTTTTTCTCTCTGTTTTACTTCGAATGCCATTTCACGCTCAAAAAAGCTAACGCTAGAAACCACCTTATCAAAATAGCGTTAATGCAGATCAAATTGGCTCTACAGTTGAATTTACAATTCGAACGTCGAAATATTACCGATTACGTCGTACGGCGTGCGCGAACGATTTCCGGAAGCAGAGTGGGACAGATTTGTCGCGTGAAAAATGAATACGTAAGAGTTTATTATCCCGCGCATCGATACCGTTCCTTTCCATCGCGCGTCAAGTAAGTTTACCTTGAATTTGTTGCGCGTACCGGCCGTTTCAGCGTGCAGACTTGAGAGCGCGAAGGAGGATTGGCGCTGGGCAACGCAATGACCACGAAGCAACAGCAGAGGGGAGCCCCTCGACGTAAGATTGCGAAATCGGATGTCGGGCTTTTTTCCCTCTCTTTCTGGTTGCGTATCGGCGCGCGGCGATACGTATCTCCGCTTTTTCGCCAGCCGAACAGCTGACAGCCCGTCGCTAAGTCACGAGCACGGATCGAGGCCAATAATTGGCGCTCGGTTACGCCCGAGTGGCAGGCTGCTGCTGGCGACATCAGCAGCAGAAGCGGGAACGCCTCGCGATTTGGTTTTCATGAAGTGAGAAAAGGGAGAGGCTCAACGAGCGCTCTCGATTAAGGGCAGCCCATTTTTCTGCTTACGTAATAAACACGATTAATCTGGGCGAGCGTCGCTTTGCTGCGGACGTTGGCTGCTCAACTGAAAACGAACAATAGATCGCCGACACGATTGATTGGTTTGTCCGCGATGCCAAAAAGGCAATAAATATAGCGCAGCCGGGCATGTTATATCGAGCGAAAGAGGCCGCGATATTAGAGCGTCAAGAGATGGAGATGAAAGATTAAAGAGCTTCGTCGGGCACTTGTTTGAAAGCGATTTGTTCCCTTGAAGTAGCATGAAGGAAGCAGCAGCAGCATGAGCGCCGTTCAAAGTTTTTCGTTCGCACTCGACTGCTGCAGCACAACAATAGCCGCGGCGCGCGAAGCTCGCGGGAGAAGCAGACGAGGAGGACGGGCGACTCGCCGGACAAGGACGCAAAAATGAGCGAGCGTCAGGCGCGCGTCATCGCGGTGTCGGTGCGCGCCGCGCGGCATCGACCCACTTGTTTACGACCCCGATCGCGCGGCACGCTGCCGGCAGATTTGTATTTTCCATTTGGGATCGCGCGTCGCTGCGTCGCCCATTGATTTTCCCGCTTGCACGGCAGCGCCGGCGAGCACCCAGCCGGGAGAAAAAGGGCGAGAGACAGAGACGACTGTTTGGCGACCGCCACGTCGCTCTCATCGATCCACTCGGTGCGCGCGAGCCGGGACGGAGCGCGCGCCCGACATCGATCAATCCGATAAGCGATTCGGCGGCGGCGGCGGCGGCCCGATGCTCCTTTCCCACTCCATCTGTCGCCAGAGGAGAGAGGCCAGCGATATCCGCCGAGTAAGTCTAGCGGAGGGCCGCCGAGACACGACGACGCTTGGCCTGCGCACTCGACGCGCGCTCGTTCTCCGTAGCGCTGTTAACGCGGACTCGCGCGGCTGCACTCGAGGCCGAGTGCTCGAGAGCGAGAGCAAGCGCCCGCGAGCCGGCTAGCTTCGGCGATCCCCCTCGGCCGCGAAAGTGCGCCCGCGACGCAGGCGGCTCGCCCGTGGTCGCGCCGAGACAGGCGAACGCGCGAGGGAGCGGGGCGCCGCGGAGCGTCGGCTACGGGGCTGCCGCGCTCGCTCTCGCCGCCCTTCCGGCCGATCAATATTACGGGCGGCTGGTGGGGTGCGCCGGCGCTGTGATGGCGGCCTCCGAGAGCCGAGCGGCGGCGGCAGCGGCAGCGGCAGCGGTAGCAGCAACGCCAAGCAACGCCTCGCCGCCGCAGCCGCCGCTAGTTCGCGTTGTTGCCTCTGGCGCGAGAGCACCAGCTGTCTCGCACGCACCGCGCCGCGGCTGCTAGCTGCGACCACTCGCTGGCTGCCCGACCGCGACCGTCGCGTGCCCCGTGCTGCCGCGGACCAGCGGCCGAGAGCGCCGGTCTCCGGGTCCGCCGTCCTCGGCAGGCGCGCGCCGAGCAGCAGTGTGCGCGCGCGACCGAGCTCTCGACGGCTCGAGCTAGCAGCGGCGAGCAGCCGGCCGCCTCCGTCCGCGGGCGGGAGTGCGAGTCGGCGCGGCCCGGGCTCGTCGGCACTCGTTGTCGAGCGGCGGCTGGCCCCGCCCGAGAGCGCTGCGCTCCGCCACACCCCGCGAGGCCTCGCGCGCACGCCACAGCCACGCCGAGCCGCCGTCGCCGCCGCCGCCGCCGCCGCCGCCACCACCACGAGGTCCGCACGCCGCCGGTCTGCCGATGAGGCCACTCAGCAGCTCGAGCCGCCGCCGTCGTCGCCGCCGCTCCGCTCCTCCCGAGCTCTAGACGTTAGGTAAGCCTCGGCGGTGTCCCACCCTGCCACGCGTCTCTGCCTTCCTCGCCGCTCGGCCTCGCGACTCGCACGCGGGTCGACGCGGCCCCGAGTAACCTCCATGTGGCACTCTCCTCTCGGCGTTTGCGGCTGCTCCGCGACTTGCACGTTGGCTTTGTCGTCGGTGACATTCATATCGATTCGACTTTCAAATTGGCGCAGTCACTGCTTGTTGCCAGCACACGCGCCCCGTTACCGACGAGAAGGACGGACCTTCGGCGTGCTACCTTCTGATCCGTACCAACGACATTTAGACGGTTACGTAATCATTACTCCTCGCGTTTAAACAGCGCGACACTCGGGAGTGCAGCGAAGCATTCGCGCCGAAGTTACTTGCGGAAAATCCAAGCGGTGAATATCGATGTCCCCGCGGTAGCGCGTGCATCGACGAACCGAAAAATGGTTACGCAACAGCCTGAAAGTGTAGCGTCGAAGCTCCCTCGGCAGTTTCACCGAAGACCGGCGCGCACACGGCGAAAGAGGCCTCGTTACAAAACAATCAAGCTAGCCGCGCTGCGGAGCAACATTTGCCCAGTGAAGCGAGCCGCGCTCGCGAGCGCGGAATTCGCAGACGCGCCGCTAATATTTGACGGGTTAAACTGGATGGCGCTCGGCCGCAAAACCGAAGAAAAAGCGCGCCACGTTATTGGAAAGCCTCGCGTTCTCCTTCTTCTCGGTCAGTTTTCGTTCCCACATGCCTCTCGGATTAATCCGATGAATTTTTCGTGAAATTCCATTTGCGCGTTCAGCCGGAAGAGTGGAATAGCCGTCGAGCTCGCGTGGCGTTTCGTCGAAGGAAAACGAATGAACGACGAGCCGGGCCGCGTCGGGCGTCATCTCGGCGCGGCCCTTCCCGAAAGATTTCTTTTTTCCTCGTCGAAGCGAGCGAGGTCGATTGCCACGGGATTGCCGGCAGTATCTGTTATATTGCTCCTTTGACGCGGGCTTTTACGCTCGGTTGGCGGCGATCGTGCTCTTGAGTTACACTCGCGCTCCCAAAAGATTTACAATGCGCGCTAAAATTTACGTGCGAGCATCCGCTCGGCAAGACGCTTCGCTCTCTATTCAATACTGCCGGCTTTATAGCGCGATGCGCCGCGCAACCGTATTTCGATTTCTCCGAATGTCGTCTTTTCACGCTTGCTGCTCGCGAATGGCGACGCCGAAGCGAGCTGCAATATTTCTCCATTATCGCTCACCATTGACGTTTATTTATTTTCGCCGAAAATGCTCTTTGACGCGACGTTATTTGGCTCGATTGTCACGCCAATCACTGGCCGCACCAGTGCGGCGCTACGATTCTACTTCCTCCGACGTGCGCTATAATTTCCATTCCTCCCTTCTACCAGCTGTCGCGTCGATCCCAAATGCTCGGTTTATTTTTTCGCGATGCTTGTCTGTGGATGTGGTCTGTCAATCGTTCTTCGCGCTATATTTTTCTGTTAGATTGGCTGACGTTGTGAATCCGAAGAGCCGCGGGCGTAGAGCTGCAAACGTAGTATCGTCGGAGGCTCATGAATAAAAAGAGGAGAGCTCGTTCGCTATTCCTCGTAGCTAGGCTTCTGGGCCGTGGGATATTCTCGCAGGTGGAGAGAATAAAAATCTCGGGGATACTACGCGATAGATCGTGAACGCGGGCCGAGGTGAGCAAAGGCGGAGTGTTCTGTGGTGCGCGTCGAAGCGAAAAGAGTCGAGCTCCTCGGAGGAGGCAGAAACGAAAGTTATTAAAATGTAGCAGCAGGTTTATCATTGGCCTGCTATAGATCCGCTATTCGTGGCTGGCCACATGTTTACGTAATGTTGATCCGATGTCATTTAGCGAGCCGCTCGGACAAGTTTTCGCCGGCGCGGTCTGCGAATTCATTCATCACGATTGGCGTATAGGCGATCTGCTCCTGCATATACAGTGTATCGCTGGTCGGTGATTAATTGGCGCTCAGCCCGTCGCTTGGCATCTCTCGTTTATTCGGTAGGCGCTCGTCATATAACGGACAAATCGTCAACAATTGCGCAGGCTCTCGGGCCGAGCGGTGGCAGCGACCCGACCGACTGAAAATTTCCGCAGCAATTAAGCTTGCGAGTGGGCGGCCCAAATGTCTTGACCGAGCCACGCAGTTCGAGGAGTTAGAAACAATTTGCCCTTATCTCGGCGGCACTGCATTCCAGCGACCGTTCTATTTTTGCGAGTGCAAGACGAAGCGCTCGTGTCGGCTTTTTTGACTTCGTCATAATGGGTTTTTCGCTTTCGCTCGAGCTGATCGGACGAGAAAGAAAGGAAAGCAAGGAAAACCAGATCGAATGCGCACGCGCAGCTGGAATGTATACCACCGCGGATTGCTGCTGAATAGAGTACGAGACGAGATCTACCACTCTTTTGCTCGCGTACAAATTAAGTGCTTTCCATCAGCGCT